ACCTGTCCTCTCCCCATACCCCCCCATACACACCTGTGTTCGGTGCTCCTCCGGTGACTCCGATATAAACTTTCTTTGTGTTCTTTCGGTGAGTTGACGATATGAGAAGATTCCTCCCCCCTCCCCCGCACTGACCTCCGCACCGAGGCTGTAAGCTCTGTAGCCAAGTGTCCCCCCCTCGTGTGCAGCATTGTGGAAGATGTGTGATCAGTACTCAGAGTCACTTCCTGCTCCCCGAGGACCCCCGTCCTCCATCCATCGCTCTGTTCACACTTCATATCACCTGTCAGACCTCCACCGAGGCCGGCCTCCTCCTCCCTGCCACAGCCAATAGAATCGCATCCTCCATTTATCAGATTTGTCCGCTCAGAATCCCCACTGTTCAGATTACTTCTCAGCAGAACATCGGAGGACCTCCGCTCCAGGCCTCCGTCCATCCAGATACCTCTCTCCGACCTCCGCTCCGGTCCTCCGTCCATCCAGATACTTCTCTCCGACCTCCGCTCCAGGCCTCCGTCCATCCAGATACTTCTCTCCGACCTCCGCTCCGGTCCTCCGTCCATCCAGATACCTCTCTCCGACCTCCGCTCCGGTCCTCCGTCCATCCAGATACCTCTCTCCGACCTCCGCTCCGGTCCTCCGTCCATCCAGATACCTCTCTCCGACCTCCGCTCCGGTCCTCCGTCCATCCAGATACCTCTCTCCGACCTCCGCTCCGGTCCTCCGTCCATCCAGATACCTCTCTCCGACCTCCGCTCCGGTCCTCCGTCCATCCAGATACCTCTCTCCGACCTCCGCTCCGGTCCTCCGTCCATCCAGATACCTCTCTCCGACCTCCGCTCCGGTCCTCCGTCCATCCAGATACCTCTCTCCGACCTCCGCTCCGGTCCTCCGTCCATCCAGATACCTCTCTCCGACCTCCGCTCCGGTCCTCCGTCCATCCAGATACCTCTCTCCGACCTCCGCTCCGGTCCTCCGTCCATCCAGATACCTCTCTCCGACCTCCGCTCCGGTCCTCCGTCCATCCAGATACCTCTCTCCGACCTCCGCTCCGGTCCTCCGTCCATCCAGATACCTCTCTCCGACCTCCGCTCCGGTCCTCCGTCCATCCAGATACCTCTCTCCGACCTCCGCTCCGGTCCTCCGTCCATCCAGATACCTCTCTC